AAAAAAAAAAAAAAAAAAAGAATATCCTCCCTTGGGGCGCCTGGGTGGCTCAGTCGTTGGGCACCTGCTTTCGGCTCGGGTCATATCCCGCGGTCCTGGGATCGAGCCCCGCACGGGGCTCCCTGCTTGGCGGGAAGCCTGCTTCTCCCTCTCCCACTCCCCCTGCTTGTGTTCCCTCTCTGTGTCTCTCTCTCTGTCAAATAAATAAATAAATAAATCTCGGGGAAAAAAAAGTATCCTCCCCCATGTTGAGCTCATATCAGGCAGAATTTTTTGCTATAAATCTTATCTATTTTTGCATTCCTATAGTACCTAGCATAGAGTGATGAGGGGTTATAGATTAGTTATGAGAAAACTCTTGCACTGGAACACAGAATCTGACCCTAGTATTATATGCTCTGCAGTGTGTATTAGACTAGATCTCACACTGCCTGATGATCTAAGTATCACCTGTCATTCTTTTTCTTATAACAGAAATACTAAGGGTTAGGAAGAAAAAGAAAAAGACATCCAGAAGGAAAGAGCAGGGTAAAAGGAAAAACTATCATAATTTCTAATTACCGTCAATAACAAAGGTAGAACATCTCACTTAAGTCAAAGTGATTATCTTTGACTACAGCAATGTAAATATAAGCCTATGAAGTTTATTCCTTAATAAGAATATTACCAAATGGTCTTTTAGCCCTACATACTCTAAAGAATATAGACATTAAAAAAACACAATTTGTCTCGTTACTTTCATCCCCACAAAGAAGGAAATGCCTTTGGGAACCAGAATAGGTGCTCCTGCTCACTCTTAATAATTCCCACCTCAAAATATCAGGAAATCAAACTCACATAACTGGCTGTTGTGCAGTTTCTTCAACATATGGAGTAAAACTGGGAAGCAGAGAGGGTATAGTGGTCACAGAAGCTGTACCACCATGAGGCTGGCGATGAAGAAGAAGATGACAATTACCACAGTTATACATTCTGACAAAGTATATGCAGGCCACACCTAATCATTCAGGAGGAATTAAAAGAGATGCTAAAAACACTCCTCTACTCTAAATCTGAAGTTTTTGTTATGTTGGCAAGTACACTGGATCCAAGAGTCCTTACCCTATATTCCAAAGGCCTGCCTGTGTTCCAAGGGCCTGGCTGCAGCTCGTTCTCTTTGGCCCTGGACACAGGAGGTGCTATCCATGGCTGAACTGTAGGCTTAGACAACTCTGCTCTAGAAGCCTCATCAGCATTTTCATCAAAAATAGTAATTCTGGAATTACTTTGCATCTGTTGAGGAACTGGATTTTGGAGTCCTCTGTTCTGGTTTGGAGCTAGGAGAAAAATATTAAAATTTTATGTAAAATCTTTAATTATCAACTCAGATGCGAGATAAGGAATACCTAATTCTTCCCAAAATCAAGGAGATTACCCCTGCTACCATAGGAACAAAGAGATTTTTTTAAACAATAATTTTAAAAAACCTTACATGAATTAACATTTTAATCCATTCTGTTTGTTACTTATACTCTCCCTCCTTCCCCTCACCTCCAGTCTTTTATTTATAGATATGTTAAAAAAAACTTAGGATGCCTGGGTGGTTCAGATGGTTAAATGTCTGCCTTCGGTTCAGGTCATGATCCCAGGGTCCTGGGTTTGAGTCCCACATCGGGCTCCTTGCTCAGCAGGGAGCCTGCTTTTCCCTTACCTACTTCTCCCTCTTCCTGCCGCTGCCCCTGCTGTGATCACTATCTCTCTGACAAATAAATAAAATCTTAAAAAAGAAAATTCTACATCTTCCTTCAATCATCATTCTAACACTATCTAGTTTTCTCAGAGACTACCCTAAACTAAATCTTCATTTATCAATTTAAAATTTTTCTCTCAATGGAAATCAGCTGAAATGTGCTGAATCTAGAGAAGACAAATTAGCCCATTTATTAGGGGTGTTCTCTGTTGTGGAGCTCCTTATTATAATCAAGCTTCATTATGATCTGGAGGAAATACTCTTTTGTTTTTTTTAAAGATTTTATTTATTTATTTGACAGAGAGAGACACAGCAAAACAGGGAACACAAGCAGGGAGTAGTGGGAAAGGGAGAAGCAGGCTTCCTGCGGAGCAGGGAGCCTGATGCGGGGCTCAATCCCAGGACCCCGGGATCATGACCTGAGCTGAAGGCAGATGCTTAGACTGAGCCACCCAGGCGCCCCTGGATGAAATATTCTTTAGGTCTATATACTCCCTATACCCTAATTCTAGGATCTACAAGTAATATTTTGAATACTAGTAAGTTGATACCGTAAAAGGAACAAGATTTTTTTTTTTAAAGATTTTATTTATTTATTTGAGAGACCGAGAATGAGAGAGAGAGAGCACATGAGAGGGGGGAGGGTCAGAGGGAGAAGCAGACTCCCTGCTGAGCAAGGAGCCCGACATGGGACTCGATCCCGGGACTCCAGGATCATGACCTGAGCCGAAGGCAGTCGCTTAACCAACTGAGCCACCCAGGCGCCCAGGAATAAGAATTTTTTTTAAATTCTGGTCTATCCATCTAACTGCTATAAATGTAGTTAGTAAAATCTTATTGCTCTCTGTACTTTCTCCTCAATTTTGCTGTGAATCTAAAACTTCCCTAAACATAGTTAATTAAAAAAAAGAGAGAGAGAACAAGAAAGAAAGCTTATCAGTGATCATCTTTAGGTATACAAAGAGAGTCCAATTTCTGGCCCCCAAAACCTGAAGACCACGTTAATACATTCTCTGGGGCTCTGGTATACGTAAGCTTCGCTTTGACAATACTGGCTATATTATTGCATATCTTCTTTTGACTAACAACTCAAACTCAGAAACTCTTGATGCTTCCTATATATTAGGTTTTTCTTAATTAAAATACAAAATTGCTGACCTGTTTTGCTTTTACTGCATACTGTAATCTCAGCTCTCTGAAGACTTCCTTCTTTTTGCTACCTAGTATTCAGAAAACTAGGACAGTGTCCACATATATATTTATACATTATCTCTTTACATAATTTGCCTACCGCCCGAGACTAAGAGCTTCCTATAATAACACTTAACAAACTTACCCTTAAGAGCACCTCCGACACGGCTGATTGGAGCTCTTGCTGTCTTTTTCCCTTTGCTTTTTAGTTCAGCCAGTGTGCTTCGTTGTGGTACAGAAGACCCAAAAACTTCCTCCTCCTCTTCTTTCTCAAGTGCCAACACAGTTTGCCGAGACACCCGAGCTTGGAATTGTCTAAAAGTAAGAGAATGGACAATTAACTTTTGGGGGAGATGACCACTACTCACCAGAATCAAAATTTCTAATTTACTAAACAAGGGAGAAGAAATATAGAGAAACAGCCCAGAGAAAGTGTTTATTCTCTCAGGAATAAAGAAAGCTACCTTGAAATCAGAGAAGGTTTGGAATAGGATGATTTAACTTCCCCTTTAAATGTCACGTCCGACCAATTAGCATACTCTGAAGAGCACCATTAGGCTGATCTGAGGATCAGACCAGGGTGACTAAGACTAAAGAATTAAGGCCAGAGTTTCCCATCAACTTTTTAAACTTACAAAATAGTTGGAAGAGTAAATGAGCACCCATATACTCTTCACCTAGATTCAGCAACTGTCAACGTCTTGCCACATCTCTTTTATCACTATGTCTCTTGCTCTCTCTAGGCACATTCCTCAGCCCCATACCATTTTTTCCCAAACCATATGAAATGAAGTTGTATCGCACATGTCATTTTACTTCAGCACAGCTGGCAGAAGTTTGAAGATTTAACTTCCTGTGCTGCTGTCAAAGCTTTACGTATTATCAAAAGGGTAAAAAACCAGAATAAACTGCAACTGCTGGCCAAGACGGAGTAAGCCCGTGATAGCCTCTCTCTCACTGGGTAGAATTAAAAACTCTAAACAAAATACAAAAAAAGCAACTGAGGCCTCTGAAAAGTAAACAAAAGCAAGTGGACTGTAGAGAGGAGTCAAACTTGAAGAAACAAACCACACAGGGTTGTTTCCTGTTTTTTTTTCTTCTTCTTCTCTTTTCTCTTGTGGTTTTAAATTGTTGCAACGATGGTGTGGGAAGCTAAAACCTCATCTTTCTGGCCAGAGTACTGGGAAAAGGGGACTCTGAGGGCCAACGAATGTGGGAGAGATCCTAGAGAGGACGAGCTGAAGAAGGGGATCTCCTAATTCTCTACATGAATTGGCACAAGCCCTGGACTCACTCCTGAGCTATGCATGCAGAAGGCAGGCCCAAAGTAGCACAAAAAAGGCTTTGAGATCTGAACTATGATATAAACCATTGCCCAAGTCCTAGACTAACCCCTGATCAGCCTACATGTGGGATAGACCCAAATGTCTTGAAAATTGAACTATCAATGGAACCACTATCCATCAGAGAAAGAACTTGTGATATCTGAGGGTTGGTTGCCTACTAAGACAAAAATATCAACATTCCCCAGGGAATATCAACCAATAGGACTCAGAGTCTAATAACATAGTAACAGGATAAATGTCCAGGATATAATCCAAAATGACCTGACAGACAAAGAACCAGGAAAATGTGATCAATTCTCAAAGAAAAAGGCAATCAACACATATCAAAATCAAGATGACCTAGGTGTTGGGAATTTCCAGACAGAAATTTAAAGATTTTTTTTTTTATTTATTTATTTGAGAGAGAGAGAATGAGAGACAGAGAGCACAAGAGGGAAGAGGGTCAGAGGGAGAAGCAGACTCCCCGCTGAGCAGGGAGCCCGATATGGGACTTGATCCCGGGACTCCAGGATCATGACCTGAGCCGAAGGCAGTCGCTCAACCAACTGAGCCACCCAGGCGCCCTCCAGACAGAAATTTAAAAGCAGCTATTATAACAACGCTCTGAGAGATGAAGGTAAAAATACCTGAAATAAATAGAAAGACAGAAGTTCTCAGCAGAGACACAAAAACTATAAAGAAGAATCAAATGGAAAATTTAGACCTGAAAAACACATTATCTGAAATAAAAAATTTACTGGATGAACTCAGTATCAGAATGGAGATGGCTAAGGAAAGAGCAAATGAACTTGAGGACAAATCAACAAAAATTAGCCATTCTGAAGAACAGAAAAAAGAAAGGTTAAAAAATTAAAAACAGAAACAGGGGTGCCTGGGTGGCTCAGTCAGTTAAGCGTCTGCCTTCAGCTCAGGTCATGATCCTAGGCTCCTGGGATTGAGTCCTGCATTGGGCTCCTTGCGCAGCGGGGAGCCTGCTTCTCTCTCTGCCTCTGCCTGCCACTCCCCCTCCTCATGCTCTCTCTCTCTCTGACAAATAAATAAATAAAATCTTAAAAATAAATAAGTAAATAAATAAAATAAAAACAAAAATGAAACAATAAAAAAGAGCTTCAGGGACCTATGGAACAATATAAAAAAGTCTAATATATGTGTAACTAAAGCCCCAGAAAAAGACATAAAAGTGCAGAAATAAATAATGGCTGAAAACTTCTCAAATTTTGTGAAAGGCATACATTTACAAATTCAAAAAGCTCAGTAAACCCTAAATGGATTCAGTGCAAAGGTAATCACACATAGACACATCATAATCAAACTTCTGAATAACAATGTTAAAGAAAAAAATCTTAGGGGCGCCTGGGTGGCTCAGTTGCTAAGCGTCTACCTTGGGGCGCCTGGGTGGCTCAGTCGTTAAGTGTCTGCCTTCGGCTCAGGTCATGATCCCAGGGTCCTGGGATAAAGCGCCACATCGGGCTCTCTGCTCAGCAGGAAGCCTGCTTCTCCCTCTCCCGCTCCCCCTGCTTGTGTTCCCTCTCTCTCTGTGTCTCTCTCTGTCAAACAAATAAATAAAATCTTAAAAAAAAAAAAAAAGCATCTACCTTAGGCTCAGGTCATGATCCCAGCGTCCTGGGATCGAGTCCCACATCAGGCTCCCTGCTCAGCGGAAAGTCTGCTTCTCCCTCTACACCCCCCACCCCCGGCTTATGCACACGCTCTTTTTCTCTGTCAAATAAATAACATCTTAAAAAAAGAAAACGAAAAGAAAAGAAAAGAAAAAAATCTTAAATGCACCCAGAGAAAATCAACATATTACATATAGAGAAGGAACCATTCTCATCAGAAATCATGGAGTCCAGAAGACAGTGCAACAACATCTTTATCGAAATTAAAGAACTATTGAGGGGCGTCTGGGTGGCTCAGTCGTTAAGCGTCTGCCTTCATCTTAGGTCATGATCCCAGGGTCCTGGGATGGAGCCCCGTGTGTCCAGCTCTCTGCTCAGCAGGGAGTCTGCTCTTCTCCCTTGCCTTCTGCCCCTCCCCACTGCTCATGCTCTCTCTCTCAAATAAATAAATTAAATTTAAAAAGAGAAAAAAGAAAAGAACTGTTGACCCAGAATTCTATATCCAGTGAAAATATCCTTCAGGAATGAGGATGAAATGAAGTCATTCTCAGATGAAAAAAAACTAAGGGAATTTATTAGGCATAGGCTCACTCTAAATGAATGGCTAAACAAACCTCTTCAGGCTAAAGGGAAATTATACTAGAGGACAACTTGGGACTTCAGGAATGAAGGAAGAACAAAAATGATAAATACAAAAGACCATTTTCCTCCAAATTTCTTTAAATATGTAAGGCTGTTGAAAACAAAAATTATAACATTGTCTGGTGGGGTTTTCAGTGTATGTAGATGTAATACATATGACAAGTATACCAAAAAAGTAGGGAAGATCAAGGGACCTATATGGTTATAAAGCTTCTATATTTTTTTACTTGAAGTGATAAAATATCAACCCTAAGTAGACCATGAAAAGTCAGGTCTGCTTATAATATACCCCAGACAACCATTAAAAAAAAATAGTAACAGACAAAAAAAAGCCAATAAAATAAATTAAAATGAAATATTAAAAAAAAATTCAGACAATCCAAAAGAAGGCAGGAAAGAGGCAATAGAGGAACAAAAGATAGAGAACCAATTGAGAACAAATAAGAAAATAATAGATCTAAATCCAATACAATTAATAATTAAAGTAAATGTTCTAAATACACCATTTAAAAAGATATTGTGAGAGCTGAGGAAAAAAACAAGACCCAACTATTTGCTGTGATAAAAAACCCACTTTAAATATGAAGACATGGAATAAAAATGAAAGAAAATCCATTCAAAAGCCTGCATCATGAATGTTTGCAGCAGCACTTTTTCACAATAGCCAAAAAATGGAAACAACCTAAATGCTCATTATTTGATGAATGGATAAGCAAAATGTGGCATAGCCACTGAATGGTTATTACTGAGCAATAGAAAGGAATGAAATACTAATATATGACATAACTATGTTCATCAATGATGAACATACTATGATGAACCTTCAAAACAGTATGCTAAGTGAAAGAAGCCAGTCACAACAGACCACATAACATAGGATTCCATTTATGTGCAAAGCCCAGAATAGGCAAATCTAGAGAAAGAAAGAGAGAAGTGGTTGCCTGGAAGTGGGTGAGTGGGAATGGGGAGTGAGTGCTAATGAGTGTGGGGTTCATTTTGGGGTGTTAAATATGTTCTAAAATTAGATAGTGGCGATGGTCACACAACTCTAAAACTGTTTAAAAAAAAAAAAAAGGAAAGGAAAAAGATATAGCATATAAACAAAAGAACGCCAGAGTGGCTGTACTAGTATCAGACCAAGGAGACTTCAGAATGTGTATGACCAGGGATAAAGAGAGACATTATATAACGATAAAGGGGTCAATTCTAAATGTGTATGCTTCAGAACTTCAAAATATATAAAGCAAAACAAATGGGACTTAGGGAAAAATAGACAAATTCATAATAAAAGGGACTTCAAAATTCCTCTCTCAGTAACTGATAGAACAAGTAGATAGAAAATAAGCAAGGAAACAGAAGACCAGAACAGACTACCTATCAACTTGATCTACGTAACATTTAAAAAACATTCCACCCCTAAACAGCAGAAAACACATATTTTTCAAGTGTCCATGGAATATTCACCAATGACAGACCATATTCTGGGCCATAAAACAAAACTTAATAAATTAAAAAAAACTGAAACCATACAAATTATGGTCTCTGACCATAATGGAATTAAACTAGAAATCAGTAACAGAGAGACATCTGAAAAATCTCTAAACATTTCCCAATGAAATTAATATACTTCTAAATAACCCATGAGTTAAAGGGACAACATATGGGAAATTAAAAAATGTTGTTTTGAATGAAAATGAAAAATACAGTATTATATTAGAATCTGTAGAAGATAGCTAAAAGCAGTGTTTAGAAGGGAAGTTTTATATTAGATAAGAAGATCTAGAATTAGTGAAATAGGCTATCATCTTAAATCAGAAAAAGAGCAAGTTAAACTCAAAGCAAGCACAAAGAAGGAAATAATAAAGAGCAGAAATTAATAAAAATAAGAAAAAATCAATTAAGAAAAAGCAATGAAACCAAAAGCTGATTCTCTAAAAAGATCAATAAAATCGATAAACTTCTAGCCAGACTGATGGAAAAAAGAGAAGACACAAATTACCAATATCAGGAATAAAAGAGGGGAGATCACTATATAACTTACAAACATTAATAGGAAAATAAATACTATAAACAACTCTATGCTCATAACCTCATAGATGAAATGAGTCAATTCCTCAAAAGACAAATACTACCAAAGCTTACTCAAAGAAATCAAAGATCTAAATAAATGGAGAAATATACCAAGTTTATGCACAATACTAATCAAAATCCCAGAAGCTAATTCTAACACTTATACAGAAAGTCAAAGAACCAGAAGGGCTAAAAAGAACGAAATTGGAGGTCTCATATTTACCCGATTTCTAGACTTACTATAAAGGTACAGCAACCTAGATACTACGGTATACACTAATTAACAGATACACAGATCAAAAGAACAGAATAACAGAAATAAACCTACACAAATACTTTTTTTTTTTTATGTCAAATACGATTTTTGACAAAGGTGCAAAGTCAATTCAATGGAGAAAATCTTTTCAACAAGTGGTACAAGAACAAATGGGGGATCGTATGCAAAAAAAAAAGAACCTTGATCAATACTTTCTATAAAAATTAACTCAAAATGGATCAGAGATCTAAATATAAAAAATAAAACTATAAAAACTTCAAGACTGGGGTGCCTGGGTAGTTCAATCTGTTGGGCGTCCAGCTCTTGGTTTCAGGTCATGATCTCATAGGTCATGGGATTAAGCCCCATGTCGGGCTCTGCCCTCAGGGGGGAGTGAAGATTTCTTTCCCTCTGCCCCTACCCCTACTTGTGTGCTCTCTCCCTCTCTAAAATAAATAAATAAATCTTTAAGAAAAAATTAAACATAGAAATACCATATAATACAATAATTCCACTACTGGGTATTTACCCAAAGAAAACAAAAACACTAATTCAAAAAGATATATGCACCCTATGTTTATTGCAGTATTTACAATAGCCAAGATATAGAAGCAACCTAAGTGTCCATCAACAGTCAAATAGATAAGGAAGGTATGTATATATAATGGACTATTAGGGAGCCGTAAGAAAGCATGAGATGGTGCCACTGGTGACAACATGGAGGTACCTACAGCACATTATGCTAAGTGAAATAAGTCAGACTGAGAAAGAAAAATACCATATGATTTCACTCATGTGTAATCTAAAAGAAAAAAAAGGAATAAACAAACAAAAAGCAGACTAAGACCTATAAATACAGAGAACAAACTGATGGTTGCCAGAGGAGACGGGGGTGCGTGGGCTGGGCAAAATGAGTGAAAAGGAGAGGGAGACACAGGCTTCCAGTTATAGAATGAATGTCATGGGAATAAAAGGTACAGCATAAGAAATATAGTCAGTGATATTGTAAGGGCTCTGTACGGTGACAGCGATACTTGCAGTGAGCACAGCATAATGTAGCAGCTTCTAGAATCACTCTATTATACACCTGAAGTTAATGCAACCTTGTGTATCAACTATACTCAAAAATTTTTTTTAAAAAATTTCAAGATGAAAACAAAATGTTTGCAATCTTTCGCTAAACAGTTCTCAGATATACCAAGAGCATGATTCACACAAAAAATAAGTTAGACTTCTTCAAAATTAAAAATTTTGTTCTATAAAACACACTGCTAAGAGAACAAATAGACCACAGTTAAACTGGGAGAAGATTTACAAGCCACATACCTGACAAAAGACTTGTATTCAGAATATACATATAAAATCCATCTTTAAGGTAGAACCAATTTAACAACTGAAATGCATTATGCTAAATGAAAGCAGTCAGACTCAAAAGGCTACATTGTATGATGCCATTTATGTGATATTATGGAAAAGGCAAAACTGCAGGGCTAGAGACTAGATCAGTGGTTGCCAGGGTTTGGGAATGAGAGTAAGTGTTAAACTACTAAGGGAAAGGGAGAGAGCATAAGGAAATCCTATGGATGATGGAACTTGATCATGGTAATGCTTACATGTCTCTATTCATCTGTGAAAACTTACAGAATTGTACACCAAAGAGTAGATTTTACTAAATGTTAAATATAAATTGGTCTTTTTTTTTTTTTTAAAGATTTTATTTATTTATTTGAGAGAGAGAATGAGAGATAGAGAGCACGAGAGGGAAGAGGGTCAGAGGGAGAAGCAGACTCCCTGCTGAGCAGGGAGCCCGATGTGGGACTCGATCCCGGGACTCCAGGATCATGACCTGAGCCGAAGGTAGTCGCTTAACCAACTGAGCCACCCAGGCACCCTATAAATTAACAACTTGCTTTTATATCTATTAGTTTTAAAGAGTGAAGACAAGCTCGAGAAGTTTACCGGTGCTGTGACTGCAGTCGTTCCAGTGGTTCGGCCTTCTGTTGAATCCCTTCCTGAAATATCTTATCTGCTTTCTTAAAGTTTTCTCTAGCTTCATATTCTTCAGCCCATGAGATATAGAACTGAGCAAGTGAAACACCAATCCCTTGGCTATGTAAATAACTGTACATATCCAAAGGCTCATTGCATAAACGCCCCTGTAAAAAATTAAAAGTATTAACAGTTAACCAATTTCTATTCACTTACTGTCTTTTTCAATGCAGAAACTACATATAGTAACTCAGTTACTATATGTAGTTTCTGCATTGAAAAAATATTTATCTATTATAATACAATGTTATAAGGACTATACTGGGAAGAGTTAAAAAGTAGACAAAAGAGATTAATTTGTAAGAAAAAGGGAGCAGAAGGAAAGACTTCAAGAATGTATGACATTTTTGAGTGTGGCCTTGAAGGAGGAATAGACTTACATCTGGTAGAGAATGGGAAAGGAAGGCATTCTACATGGAGAAAATGGTATAAGCAAAGACAGAAACTAAAAGTTTATAGAGATGCAGACAAGACAGGAGCTTGGAAAGCTTGGAAAAAAGGGTGTGACAGGTCTTAAATGTCAAGACAATTAATGTTGACATATTACTCTCTTTCCCCCCCTGAGGATAGTTCTGCTCTGTCCAGTTAATATACCTGAATGGAAAGGAAAAGAATAATTTTATTTATCTATTTATTTACTTACTTACTTACTTATTTATTTTTAAAGATTTTATTTATTTGAGAGAGAGAGAGAGAAACAGCATGAGAGGAGAGAGGGTCAGAGGGAGAAGCAGGGTCCCCACTGAGCCGGGAGCCTGATATGAGACTCGATCCCAGGACTCCGGGATCATGACCTGAGCCGAAGGCAGTCGCTTAACCAACTGAGCCACCCAGGCGCCCCTAGAAGGATCTTATAAGACCAGATAAAATGTAGATAATTCTAGTAGTAAGAAGATAGGATAATGGGTCAATAAAAATCCCACATCATTAACAGTTTGATATATATTTTTTCCTTGAGGAAAAAAAAGAACATATATCATTTTATACAGCATAAAAGGGTTTTTATCATTTAATAAAGTTTTAATCATAAGATAATTTGCTTTTATTCTACTTAAACGTCCATCGTTCATTTTTCCATGCTGCTGCTTATTCTTTATTATTTTTAGATAAATAATGTTCCATCCAATAATCTTCCATCATTTAGCCACTCCCCTATTTTTTGGATATACAGCTTCTACTTTGCCCAATTACATATAATTCTATAACAAATATCTTCATGCACACAACCTTTCATGTTTCATATTACTGCCTTATGATAAATTTCCAAAACTAGAACTATGTTAAAAAGTAACAAATTGCCTTTTTTTTTTTAAGATTTTTATCTATTTATTTATTTGACATAGAGAGAGAGAGAGAGAGCATGAGCAGGGGGAGCAGGGGGAGCAGCAGAGGGGGAAGCAGACTCCCCGAGGAGCAGGGAGCCCGATACAGGCTCGATCTCAGGACCCTGGGATCATGACCTGAGCCGAAGGCAGCCACCTAACCAACTGAGCCACCCAGGCACCCTAAAAAGTAACAACTTGCTTTCTAAGAGGGTTGTACAAATTTAAAATGCTAGTAGTTATTCCCAAATACTAATTTCACAGAAAATACCTATTTTTAAGTTTCTAATTTCATATAAAAATTGCATTTCAGTGTTCTAATTAGGAGTTCTTATACTACTAAGGAGGCTAACATTTTCTCCTGTTTATTTACTAGATATATTTTCTCTCATCTCTATCTGTTCCTGATTGTCTAGCCTAGGTTAAGTCCTCCTTGTATGTATTCCCTCCTATACAACTCAGTACTTTCCTGCTTTCTCTTTTGCGACTATTAAATGCTTAACAACTGTCTTTCCCAATAAAGTAAGCTTGACAAAGGCACAAAACATTACTATCCGCTATATCCTAATCCCTAGCCAGGGTCTGGTAGAAAAGTGAATAAATGAAATGCTCCACTTATATCTTTGACAAAACAATTAGTATTTTATAGTTTAATTCTGTAGTAATTCAGTAAATAGAGTTCTTCACTTATCCAAATGAGTGATGTTTTCCCATATGTGATGGCAATTCAAGCAAAGTTCTAATTCTGAATATGTTATCAGTATCAGATCCAGTCCCTGATATCTGTTACTACATAAATAAAGGTTAACATTGACTGCACTTGTTAATGGCTTTCTAAATAGCTCTGGTTCAGCATGAAACAGCCAATAAATATCAGGTTATTCTAGAGTCTGAATGAGATTACTTAAGAAATAACATAAATAAAAGGACCACATGGTTAGATTAATATATCCAAAAGATAAATCTTTTTGGTAACCTCTAACAAGCCAACTAAAACAATTTTACACTTTTAACTAAAAATCCTGGATATTTCCTAAAAACAATTTTTTCCTTAGCTAGATTGTAGTTATCCCTTACAAAAATAACTCTTAGACTGGAGAAATTTTTCTGCAAAGCAAAGAAAGTAGTGTGAGGAGCCCAACTGTTACTCCTCTTGACCATTCCATAAAGAGAAAAACCTCAGCAAAATAGTTCAATATGCACCCTGTTAACTATCTACAAAGTTCAGATTATTGCTGATCATACTAGGGCTGATCATTTGAATCTGAGGGTTGTCTAGACCAGCACTGCTCAGATTGCCTGTGGGAAAGAGGCTAGTTTTGGTGTGTGAATGTTTCAAGTTTCCATTCCACTGTTGACTGGTATTCTTTTTCCCCATTGTTGACTAGTATTTTTAAAAAATACAATAAAAATAGAAGTTGCTAGAAAAATGATGATGTGTTTGGATGTTGTGGCAATGTCAAATTTGTTAACAAAACTTAGCAAAACTTCTAAATGCTTGCTCTGAACTTTTATACTTATCTTGAACAGTCTGCAGACCATTCTTCAGTAGCTCTGGTCTAGACTATGCTTTTTATTTTATGATAATATCATTACTCTTCAGTACCAGCACCAGGTTAGCATTTATGAACAGAAAAATTATTCCAACCAATTGTTACTTTCAATAGCTCCAACTAAATATAATCATAGAATCCTGGGATAAAAAATTACTTTAGAGGTTTATCTAGTCCAAACTTTTAGTAAATCACATATAAGAACGTTATTTAGGATAAGAATGTTATGTAGGATGGAATGAAGAACAAAATCCATTAGTAAGCTACCAGGGACCATAGTCTCCATGCCAACAACATGCTTTGGGTACCATCCTTTGTCATAGACTCCTGTCACTAATACTCCACAGATAATTTCTCCAACTTGTTAATAATGATGCCAAGATACGTCAAATGTCCTATGGAAACCAAGATAGCTTATGCCTTCAGGACTCACCTAATTTCCTTTTTTAGTGATATTTGAGGTTTAAGATAAGCTCTCCTCAAGAGATATATTTTAGCCAGAAATTTTATCAATTTCAAATGTCAATATTTTATATTACAATGGTTGTTGTAAATATTCTGTTAGTTAGAATTCTATTATATAATTATTTTTATAGTTCATTTTTTATTTTTAATAAAAATAATTTATTTTTATTAAGTATCTAGTTATCCATTATCTAATTATCTATTATCTAACATTCTATTCTAAATATTTATCACTTACTTTTTCTAATCTCTTTTAGGATAAAGGCAATGAAATTAGTATCTAAGAAATTCTGGTCATTATCTTATTTGAAGATGTTTTCATAAAAAAAATCCTCAAGAGTGTTCTAGAAATAAAAGAACTACATGTCAAATGAGACAGTATAAAGTGGTCAGGCAGATATTTTTGGATGTAGCAATATACTACGTAAAAAACATTACCTTTTCATGGTGTTGATTCTCAGAAAAGGGACAAAGGGATACCAGAATCACCTACAAAAACTTTTTCACAATCATACTACTGCCATGTGTTGGCTCCTACCCGGCCTCCCCCAGTACAGCTGCATGGCCCAGTTATATCTGAAATAAATACTCCACTCCCATGAGGAGGTATACAGGCCTTATGATCACTTTTAAAGGGGTTAAAAAAACCCTTCACATTAAAATCCATCTTTAAGTAGAACCAATTTAACAAATATTGAGTATGTATTAAATGTTTAGTACCTACTAAAAGGCTCAGGTTTTGCCATTTTTTTGGTGTCTACCAGAAAGCTCTAGAGAAAATCTCCTGGCTTAATATTTTAAATTCAAACAGCACTTGAGAAAGACTTACCAATTTAAGCCAAAGACTAAGAAATCGGGGATCATTATAGTATCGTTTTTCTCCTTGTAGTGCTTCAACAGCTCTTTCTAATAATGTTGACATATTACTCTCTTTCCCCCCCTGAGGATAGTTCTGCTCTGTCCAGTTAATATACCTGAATGGAAAGGAAAAGAATAATTTTATTTATCTATTTATTTACTTACTTACTTACTTATTTATTTTTAAAGATTTTACTTGAGAGAGAGAGGAAGCAAGAGAAGAAGCAGGGGGAGAGGGAGAAGCAGACTTCCCCCTGAGCAGGGAGCCCACTGCGGGACTTGATCCTAGGACTCCGGGATCATGACCTGAGCCGAAGGCAGATGCTTAGCCAACTGAGCCACCCAGGTGCCAGAAAAGAATAATTTTAAAGTTTGATGTGTACTTTTATTCTTGCACCAAGACCCATTCTTGACTTTCTTAAGTAGAAATATCTAATTTGAAAGTATGTTTATTTAGAGAGGACCTCATGTCCTAAACCTATATCCCTCAAACTTTTCCAAATATTGCTAACATGTGCCTCTGGGAAATAATGGGTTTGGGGATAAAAGGGTGTAGTTCTCAGGTGCATGCCACAAATTTGAAATTTCTTCAGTCATGAACACCTCAGAAAGAAACACTGTGATTAATCTGTCTCTCTGTGTCCCCAGGATACCACTTTGTACTCTGACATTGCTCTGTACACCCTAATTTGAGAAGCATGGCCATAAGGACTCATCTGTTAAGTTTCTAGTGCCCTTGTTAAATTAAAAAAGACCCACCTATCCCAAACATCCAGAGGGTCATTCCCAGTGTAAAATCGAATTTCAGATTCAAATGCCCTGAAATTTAAACAGAAAATGTTAGCATTAGCAATGGGGATAATAGCCAAATAAACAAGTGTCACCTTCATTTTTATTCATTTTTTAAGTGTTTAATATTGATCCAAATAACTGCACTGGAGTTTGAGGATTTATTAAACAGGAAGAAACATAGAAATAATCAAGCTACTGCCTGATAATATAACAGGAAGGACAAAACATGGGGAAATTAGATAAACAAATTCCAAAATAACATATAGAAAAACAGAATTACACAGCAGTTTAAGGCTCTGGAACAAGACTCCCTAGGTTCAAATTAGCAGCTCTACTAATCACTAGCAGAGTGACATTAGACAAGTGGTTTAAATTCTATTTTCAGTCTTCTCATCTGTAAAATGGGGATAATAATAAAGAAATCCCCCCTTTATCTGCAAGGGGATAGTTTCCAAGACCCCAATGGATGCCTGAAATTGAGGATACTTCTGAAACTTTTATATACTATGTGTTATTCCTGTACACACATACCTATGATAAACTTCAACTTATACATTAGTCATAGTAAGGGATTAACAACAATAACAAAATAGAACAACTGTAACAATATAGTATAATAAGAGTTATGTGAATGTGGTCTCTCTCTCTCAAACTACCTTGTACTGTACTCATCTTTCATCTTCTTCTTGTGATGATGTGAGATGACAAAATGCCTACACGATGAGATGAAGTGAGGTGAATGATGTTGGCATTCTAATGTAGTGTCAGACTACTACTGACCTCCTGACAAAATGTCATAAGGAGGATCGATCATCTGCTCCTGGGCCACAGTTGACAGCAGGTAAGTGAAACTGAGGAAAGTGAAATCAGAGATCAGGAGGACTACTGTAGCACTTATCTTATTAGGTTGATTAGTGTTTAGATATAATAAGCACTCAATAAATAATAGGAAGTACTGAGTAATAAAACACAATTTAGATAAATGTTTCATCAATAAAAACTGTAGAAAGGGTTACATTTGATACAAAGGACTATAAAATAGTTCCTGACACAAAGGAATTTATACTCTAATAAGACAAAGTACACAAAGGGAAAATTAACTAACAATACAAAGCAGGATAGTGTATTATAATTGCCAAGAATGGATAGTAAAAGCTTTGATAAGTCAAAAGGAGGTATCACAGAAGCAGCGTCAGAAGGTGGGACTCTGAAGGAACCATAAAATTTGAAAGAAAAATGGGAGTTTTCCAAGATTTCCAAGAAATCAGTATTGAATAAAGTTGTAAAAGTGGGAGAGTTTATCCAGAGGAAACTGAGCTATAAGATACAGTTAGTATTAGGAATAAATGGAGATAGTTGTAAAAGTGGGAGAGTTTACCCAGAGGAAACCAAGCTGTAAGACACAGTTAGTATTAGGAATAAATGGAGATAGGAATAGTAAGGGATTAACCTTACAATGATGTACATACATAAATACAACCATGCTCCAGGAGCAGATGATCCTCCTTCTGACATATTGTCAGGAGGTCAGTAGTAGTCTAACACTACGTTAGAATGCCTACTGGAAAAGTAAGAAGGGCACATTTTTTTTTTTAAGATTTTATTTATTTATTTGACGGAGAGCGAGAACACAAGCAGGGGGAGCAGCAGTTAGAGGGAGGGGGAGAAACAGACTCCCTGCTGAGCAAGGAGCTTGATGTGGGGCTCAATCCCAGGACCCTGGGATCATGACCTGAGCCAAAGGCAGATGCTTAACTCACTGAGCCACCCAGGCGCACCAAGAAGGCATGTTTTAAATGTAAATTTAAAGACTTTAGGCACCTGGCTGGCTCAGTCTGCAGAGCATGCAGCTCAGGGTTGTGAGTTCAAGCTCCACGTTGGCATAAAGATTACTTCAAAAAAATAAAACTAAATTAAAAATAAAGACTTTGGATTCCACCTGCTCCAGCCACTACTGGTTCTTTAATTGGAGAGTATCTTGAATATGTTAAGTAAAGATTTCAAAAAGATCAATTAATATTTTAAGAAGAGATTAGAAAAGGAACAATTATGAAGCTAATATGGTGATTTAAGTATGAGATAATGAGGCAATTACCTACAGAAATAGTGAAAAAATAAAATCTAAGACAAAATAAAATCAGCAATCCTCCCAATGTATCTATAGATGCAATGCAATCCAACCAAAATCTCACAAGACTCTTTTCTAGAAACTGACAAGATGATTTTAAAATTTGTTTGGAAAAGCAAAGGACCAAAAATAGCCAAAATAATTTTGAAAAAGAACAACAAAAGCTGGAGAACTCACTCTGCCCTAAGTCAAGATTTATTATATAAAGCTAATCAAGACAATGTGTAACTGGTGAAAGGATAAGCAATTAGATCAATGGAAGAGAACAGAGGCCAGAAATAATCCACACATAGACAATCAAATGATTTATTTTTTCACAAGGGAATTTTCATAGAGCAATTCAGTGGGGGAAAAGAAAATAATCTCTTCCAACAGAGGGAGGCAAAACAACTAGAAATCCTTATGGGGGGTGGGGGAAGAAATTTTACCCCTGCCTTACACTATACACAAGGATAAATTTAAGATGAATCATAGACTGAAATATAAAAGCTAAAACAATAAAGCTACTAGAAGAAAACACAAGAGAATATCTTTGCAAATTTGGATCTTTGCAAAGATCTAAAGACAGAAAAAGCACTAACCATAAACGAAAAACAGTAATTCATTAAACTTCATCTAAATGAAAAACTTCTGCTTATCAGAAAACACCACCATGAAAATAGGTAGCCATGAACCGCAAGAAAATGTTTGCAACACATTATTTGATAAAGGTCTTATATAAAGACTATATAAAGGTCTCTTGCAACCCAATTTTAAAACTGGGCAAAATGTCTGAACAAATATACCACAAAAGAAGATATATAAAAGGCCAATAACCATGTGAAAAAGTGCTCACATCATTAGTCACCAGGGAAATGACAAATAAAACCATAATGAGATACTATTATATACCCACCAAAATGGCTAAAATGAAAAAAGACTGGCACCACCATATACTGAAGTGGATTTGGAGCAAGCGAACTCTCATACATTGCTGACAGAAGTGTAAAATGTTATAATCTCCTTGGAAAACTGCCAGTTTCTTAAAAGTTAAATACACGTTTATTCTTTGACCCATCAGTTCTATTCTAAGAGAAATGAAAATGTTCACAAAAATCCTTGTACAAGAATGTCTACAGCAGCTTTATTCATGAAGCACAAAACTGTAAAGCATCTAATGTCCATCAATTGATAAATGGATAAACAAATGGAATACAGCTCAGTAATAAAAAGGAATAATCTACTGATCATGCAACATGAAAGGCCTAACAAAACATGCTGAGTGAAACAACCTATGACCCCATTCATATAAGCTTCTAGAATAAGCAAAAATAACCTATGATGATAGATATCTGATCACTGGTTGCTTCATGAGGAGGGGAAGAACATTGATTGGGAATGGGCATTGAGAGAACTTTTGGAGGTAACAAAAATGTTCTCTGTCTTGAAATGCATGGCAAAACTGATTAAATGGTAAACTTAAAAATCTGACCATTTCATAGCATTTCAACGAGTAAAATCATTCAAGTGAGTTTTGGTATCATTAACCAAAATGGAAAGGTCATTTATGAGAGAAGAGATTCAGTATTTAATACACTAGTGATTATATATTACAGGTAGATAAAAGAACATTTAGAAGGCAAATAAGAGACGTAAATAGTAGTTAAACAATCCTGAAAAATGTGAATTTGTAAGGACACATACAGCAATGAACAAAAGACTTAGGTAAAATGCAGTAGGAAGCCAATAAGAAAAAAGGAAGGTTAGAGAAGTGGAAACACTAGTAAAATGTCACAGAAACCAGGAAGAAGAGTTAAGAATAGAATACCACCATCTCTGAAATAAAACTCAATGCTTTTAAAGATCCAATGAGATGAGTGAGGATATTCATTATATTATAACCCGAAGTTTTGAAATTGCCTATGACGGTGAAATTTTTTTGTCAGATTAAAGGTAGAAACTGATGCTTTAGTTCACTTTTTTGAAAAAAGCGTATTTATCAAAACATGTATTAGTCAAAGGAAACCAAGTTCTGTAGCTCCATTTGAATAACGTAGTACAGTTGACCCTTGAACAACATGGGTTTCAACTACATGGGTCTACTTATATGTGGATTTTTTTCTTTTTCTTTTTTTTTAAGATTTTATTTATTTATTCATGAGAGACAGGGGTGGTGGGGGGGAGAGAGAGAGAGAGAGAGAAGCAGAGGGAGAAGCAGGCTCCCAAGGAGCAGGGAGCCCGATGCGGGACTTGATCCCAGGACCCTGGGATCATGACCTGAGCCGAAGGCAGACGCTTAACCATCTGAGCCACCCAGGCGCCCAATATGTGGATTTTTTTCAATAGTGTACAGTACCGTAAGCATATTTTCTCTTTATGATTTTCTTAACATTTTCTTTTCTCTAGCTTACTTTATTGTAAGAATACAGTATATGATATATATAACATACAAAATATGTGTTAACTGTTTATGTTATTGGTAAGGTTTCCAGTCAACAGGCTGTTAATAGTTAAGTTTTGGGAGTCAAAATTTACACGTGGATTTTTACTGCACGGGGGGGTCAGCACCCCTAATCCCTGTGTTATTCAAGGGCCAACTGTAGTATTTTTCAGCTTTTCCTTTTTCAGACTTCATTAAATCATTCTGAGAAACATTCTAGTATAGATTTAATTTCTCTCAGGTTTATATTTTCTTTGGAGATCACTATTTCTTTTTGGTATACTCTCAAAAATGCTTTCCTAGAAAGTTAAAAATTGAGTACACATACAAGATAGCAGATTCCCCTTTCCCTCACTACTCAGAATCCAAGGAAGCAATTTCTTTAACTGATTACTATTAAAGAGTTAATTCCATTTAGGGATCCAGCATGACATTATACTTTTGATAAATATTGTTTAATATGGTATTTGCTTTACTTTGCTTCTCATTGTCCCCTGTATAAGATCTATTTCTATTGATATAAGAGTTTGGCTGCTCCATAATGAAATGAAATCCTATAGCTCTTGTTCTTAATTATACTCAAGGAGATCTTTAGGTAGCTGTTGTGTGATGAAAAAGCAGGTGGGGAACAGATTCTCACACTATCAATTTTTGAAAAGTATTTCTTATGCCAATCTGCATGGATCCATATCTCCATTACCATCCCGCCTTGAGGATGAATGACAGGGTGATCCCCCACCACTCTACACACCGTTTCTGTTGCTGAAGAGTAGCATTAGAGGCAGATTCTTGCTGCGCCAATGCTCCCTGAAGTGTGGACATGATCCGCCCCTGCCTTAACGGTTGGACATTTTCTTTACTCAGCTCCCACTCATCTCCCTCCAAGGACATGGCTTCACTGTAAAGAGAGAAATAAAAGTAAATTTCATACTTATATGTATATATAAACATATATACGTATTATTGTATCACTGGATTATTGTAAATGTTTTCAAATAAGTGACTATTTATGATCTTTGGGCTGAATATGGTGGGCTGGCACATTAGTAGTGTTCTTATACTCCTAAGTGTCTGAGCCTTTCTGTGACCTGGATTCCAAGTTTATGGCTGTAGTATTGCCTAACAGAAGAGAGAATCTAACTAGGGTACTGTGGACAGTTATAAGAATAAAGTTTAAGGCAGGAAGAAAAGAAGGGGAAAAAATTATAAATTCGGCAAGGTGGACAAAAAGCAGTTCTATGCTTACCACTAAATGCATCATCTCGTATAGTTTAAAATTAGCCAACCGGGGTGCTGGGGTGGCTCAGCCGGTTAAGCATCTGACTCGTGACTGAGGCTCAGGTCATGATCTCAGGGTTTTGGGATTGAGCCCCACGTTGAGCTCTGTGTTCAGCATGGAGTCTGCTTGTCCCTCTCCCTCTGCTCCTCCCCTTGCTTGTGTGCTCTCTCTCTCTCAAACAAATAAATAAATGAAATCTTTTTTAAAAAATTAGCAGTTTGCCAGACTAACACCCCATGTTTCAACTGATGACTTAAAACTGAAGTGTATATGTATATACAGGTAGCCCAGAGCAGAAGCAGACAAAAATACAATTTACTGGTCACAACTGCCCCCCCATTCCATCAAGCCTACTGATGGGAAAATTCCCACAAGTTTTTTGGAGGCAATCACCATATGGGGTATGTGCTCTGAACTTCAGAGCTCTGCAACTGACAGATAGAAGCCTACTTCTGTCTGAGAGACACCATCTCTGGGCTTAAAACAGAGAAACAAGTACTAATCTTCAAAATAAAGTGAAAGTTACATGTGACCTCAGTCTAGATGAGAGCTGAAAACTCTCAAGAAGGCATACTGTACGTGATTAATAATTTAGGTTATAACTACTCACATCTTTTTAACCATATTGTGTGAATCTTATAAATGTAAGGGCCTTGTCATTTATTTTCACAACCCCGATGGTCTAATATAGGATCTGACTCTAGTAAGCACTGAATAAATGTTTGCTGAGTTCATCTGAATTTCTTCTCTTGATCTTGAAATAGCAATGAAACTACCTCAGCTAATGTCCCAAACTGAGCTGGGACTGCTCCCCTCCTTCCTTGCTCCCCTTGCTTCCTTCCAGACCTGCTCCTCCCACAGTCTTCCTTCATCTCAAATAAATGGCACTTTCATTTTTCCAGTTGCTTACCACTAAATGCATCATCTCGTTTAGTTTCCAGTTGCTCAAGCCAAAATCACAGTGCCAACCCTGACACCCCTCTCATTATCCCCCACCTCCAGTTACCTGACAAATCCTACTAGCTCTACCTTCAAAATAGATTCAGAAATCAACCTCTTATCATCTCCACTGTTTCTAGCCTGGCTAAAGCTACTATCTTCTCTTGCCTGGATTATTTCAATAACCTCATAACTGGTCTCCCTGCTTTCATCCTTTTCTGCTTTAAGTCTTTTCGACACTGCAGCCAAAGATCCTATTGAAACTCGTATCAGATCCTGTCTTTCCTCTGCTCAAAACCTTCCACTGACTCAAAAACTTCCACAGAGTAAAAGCCAAGTCTTTACAATCTCCACATGCTTGCCTTTACCTCATCCTTCATTTCCTTTTACTCTTCTGGTTCACTTGGCTCCAGCTACTTGCCAGGTGCAGCTCCCTCCCCCAACCCTCACCCTCCAAATTTCTGTACTTTCCCCAGATACGTGCTTGATTAGCTCTTAAGTTTCCTTCAAGTCTTTTTTTTTTTTTTTTTAAGATTTTATTATTTATTTGAGAGCAAGAGAGCAGAAGCAGGGGGAGCGGCAGAGGGTGAGGGAGAAGCAGACTCCACGCTGAGCAGGGCAGGGAGCCCAACGCGGGGCAGTTTCCTTCAAGTCTTGACCCAGATGACACTTCTCAGTGAGGCCCCCTGTTCAAAACCATCTAAAATTGCACCAATCCCCCTGCTCCCCACCGTTTTAGTTCTTTTCATACTGACCATCTAGCTTTTAGTTTATTGATCTTGTTTATTGTCTGCTGCCCCCACCCTCATCCCACCCCAGAAATTAAATTGCACAAGGGCAGGGATTTTTGTGTCTTTTGTTTATTTGCCATATTTAGTGCTTAGGAGGTAGTCAATAAATATTTGTTGCACAAGTTAAGAGTTCTCCACATGGTATTTATCTAAGTATTGTGCACCCCATAATGAAAATGCATAGCTCGGGGTGCCTGGGTAGCTCAGCAGCTTAAGCATCTGACTTGGCTCAGGTCATGATCTCAGGGTCCTGGGATGGAGGCCCCCCCCCCCAGGGCTCCCCACTCAGCAGGAAGTCTGCCTGTCCCTCTGCCCCTCCCCCTGCTCATGCTCTCTCTCTTTCACATTCTCTCTCAAATAAATAAATAAATAAAATCTTTAAAAAAAATAAAATGCATTCAGAATTCCAACCTAGAAGAACTGATATGTATTTATATAAGGAAAAGCAGCAAGCATGCAGAGAAAGGCTTTTTATATTTCTTTTTTTTTTTCTTAAAGATTTTATTTATTTATTTGAGAGAGAGAGAGAATGAGAGAGAGAGAAAGCACATGAGAGGGGGGAGGGTCCGAGAGAGAAGCAGACTCCCCGCCGAGCAGGGAGCCCGATGCGGGACTCGATCCAGGGACTCCAGGATCATGACCTGAGCCGAAGGCAGTCGCTTAACCAACTGAGCCACCCAGGCTTTTTATATTTCTAAGTATGCCATTGACATGGAAGCACCTACCATTTGTTTGGAACTTATTTGGAAGCAGTTACTTTACACATACTTTGAATTCATCAGCATTTTCCATATTTTTTTTAAAAAGATAACTGTGGTTTTATTTATAAGATTACAGTATGATTTCAATTTAAGCAGCAATTTATTATATCTCTGCTATCCTTTTTTATTTAAATTCAATTTAATTAACATATACTGTATTATTAGTTTTAGAGGTAGAATTCACTGATTCATCAGTTGCATATAACACCCAGTCAGTGCTCATTAAATCCAGTGCTCTCCTTAAGGCCCATCACCTAGTTACGCCACCTCCCCCACCAGCATTTTCCATACTAAGACGAGTCCAAGGTCAAAGAGCCAGCAAATGGCTGAGCGGAGATACACAGACCACACTATAAATTCCAAGTTTTTTGTGCCATTGGGGTCGCAGAGACTCCTTTGCTTTGAAGCTGGGTGCAGCAGGGTTCTCACGTGCCCTCACCCCACGGAGGTCGATGCTAACTAACCCTGTCTTCACCTCCAACCCTTGCGCCCAACCCCAGCAGGAGGGGGAGGCTCCAGCCCGGCCGCTCTTCTCCCAACCGTGTTCCTCTGGACTGCTCTGAGCGGAGCCTCTGTCACCGGCTACACCATCGGGTCTCGCAGGCACAGCTCCCAGCAACCTTTCTCGGGTACCTACCTCGGGGCACCCCCTTCCTTCTTCATCGCCGCCATCCTGCATTCCCGGTTCAGGCCCTCGTCCTGCCGCAGGCCTTTCTTCAGGGTCGCAGACCGCCTGGGCTTCCTTCTGCAACTTGCCCTTCGAGGTAACGAAGCGACCAGAGGGACAAAAGTTTGCACCTACTTCCTTAGCAAACCAGCCACCTCAAACCCTCCAAGTTTCAAATTTAACGGTCCCGCGCGGCCGACGTGAATACGCCCCTCCGCCCCTTCGTACTCGCGTATCTCTCTCCCAAGGAATTCTGGGGCTTGTAGTTTATACCAGGTTTAGTCCACGCAGTCGCGATGCATAATGGGAGTTGTAGTTTCCGGGGAGTCTGTGGCCGCTCAGTAGGCGCAGGTTGAGGCAGTGTAAATTCTCTGCAAGTGCTCTAAAGCAAGTCTTTGAGCCCATTGAGGGACACTTCAAGCATCAGAATTTCTTTGATGTTTTGAACATAGAGAGATACCTTTGAGTGCTTGCCCTTGGCTTGAAATTTCTTGGGTGGCTGGCCAGGCTGAGTTCACCCCTTGCTGTCTGATTCAAGTTCCTCCCAGGTCTAGAGTTCTTAGGGCACCCTGACCCAGCTGTTTCCTGCCTAATTTTGAATTCAGAAAAGCTGGACTCTAGTTCTGTGAAAATCGTAACAAGTGTGCATCCTTAGGCAAAGCCATATAGTCTCTCTGACCTTCAAATTTCTCATCTCTACTGCCCAGTCCACAGGCAGAAAATACAGCTATGCCTCATCTCCCAAGGTTTGGCGTCTTTTCCTCTTCAGGGCAGCAGCCTCCACTGGCACTGGACTCTTAGTCCACGTTCCAGTTTCCTGAGGAAGAAAATATGGTGGGCTTAGTTGTGGCCAGGGGAGCCGGGGCTTTTGAACAAACCCAGGTACAAGGGAGTCATCCTCCTGTGAACCTGAGGGTGGTGAGAGGTGGCAGTTCCCAGAGAAGGGAGCTGGGAGTAGGTGTTCACTGCTCCTTGCCTCTTGGTTCTCAGGTTTCTCCACCAATTTTTTTTAAGATTTTATTTTTAGGTAATCTCTACACCCAACATGGGGCTCAGACTTAACAACCCCGATATCAAGAGTTGCATGCTCTACTGACTGAGCCAGCTGGGTGCCTCTCCACCATTTTCTCATACTATATAAGCTCTTCTTTCTTCTACATCATCAGGACTTTTGATTGCAATGGAATGAGAATCCAACTCAAACTGACTTCCTCAGAAAAGGGAGTTTATTGGCTCATATTTAAAAGACTTCAGATGACACTTAACCCAGGACTCATCTGGTGTCACCAGGACTGGGACCCTCTCCATTTCTCACCTCTGCTCTTCTTTATGTTAGTTTATTGTCATTCTCCATGGAGTAACAGCTATAGGACTTGGTCTTTCCAGGTTCAAGTTCAGACTCAGAAGTCACTCTCATTTGCCACCCCCCGCCCCACTGTCACTGGAACTAGCAGATTCAGGGCTCTAATTGTTCAAGCCCAGATCATGTGTTTCATCTTGGGAGGAGAGAGGGGAAGGGGTGGTTCCCTACAGGAAATTTTGGTTTCTCTTTACTTCTAAGTGTTTTACATCCAAGAAGACTTCCTGGATTATGAGAGAGGTGATATATGGGATTCTCTCTTTGGCTCATTTTATCTCTCACCTCACACCAGTACTGACCTAGCCCCTCATTTCCTTTCCCCAGAGTGTCCTGTTCACATCCACAACTCCTTAATTCCGTTTGCTTCCTATAAACCATCTTGGAAGACGTAGCATTTGCTCTTTTGATCTGTCTTGCTCATAACCTAGTCAGAAGCTCCACAAATTGTGGTACAACATGGAACACTTTCAGACTAAACTCTGCTTGTTTCACCAGACAAGGGAGACAGGTTTTTTTAAAAAAAGGTATGACAGAATGTGCTGTATGGTCTTACCGGGAAAGTGAGTTCTTGTTGGGCTGGACTGTGGCTGAGTGGTGATATGACCCTCAGCAGCACTCACTGACTTTGAAGAAAGTCAGGATTAAGCTCATACACATTTCTGGTCCAAAGAGGGTAAGACAGAGGCTCAGCCTGAGTCCTTCAATGTGCCGAGCATGGGTGGGACACAGAAGATGTGAACAGTGAACCGACACAGCTCTTGTCCTCTAGCAACTTCAGGCCAGTGGGAGAGACAGACAAATAAACAGGTAATTTCACTACATTGCTGCCACAACCAGAGGTAAATGAACACAAGAGGCCATGGAGGCACATGGAGGACCTTCCAGCCCAGGCGTGGGGGAGAGGAGGTCAGGGCCAATTTTGTAGAGAAGATGGCCAACCTGAAAGGTAGGGAAGGTTTGGCACAAACTATTGAGCAACACAGGCTGAGTTGCAGCTGAAGTTTCTCTCCACTATGTGTCCACTTCCTCTTCATTCCCCACTCTCTCCAGTGACTTCCTGTACCCAGAGCTCACCCCTTTAGACCTCCGTGCCGGCCCACTAAAGCTTGCCTGTCCTGTGTGCTGTTCTCTCTCACCTAGCTATCACATTGAAAACAGGAACTAAGTCACACTGAGATGTTAATAGCAGTTAATGCTTTACTGCAGTATTTTCCACATCATGTTCTAAGATGTTAGCAGACGTTACAGGGGAATAAAAAGTGTGGTTTTCAAATAAGTTTCTGAAATGCTGACTTACATGGGTATCTTTACTGAAAGTTTCCCTCGAGCCTTTAATATGCCAACGTGCACTTTGAATCTCTAAGGGAAGGTACCCCTTCCCTTTTAGTTTTCTACTGCTGCTGCAACAAAATATCATAAACTTAGTAGCTTAAAACAACACAGATTTATAATCTTACAATTTGACAGGTCAGAAGCTTGCCTCAAGCCTCACTGGGTTAAACAAGGTGCCGGTAGGACTGTGTTTCTGGAAGCCCTTTGGGAGAATTTGTTTCCTTTTTTCCAATTTTTAGAGGCATTCACAAGTATTCCGTCACTGGTGGCCCCCTTCCTACATCTTCAAAGCCAGCAACACGCATCTGTCTGATTTGGCTTCTGTATTACCATGTCTCTTTCTCTGACCATAGTCAGGAAAATCTCTCTGCTTTTAAAGGCTCATGTAATTATATTGGACCCATCCAGATAATCCAGGCTAACCTTTCTATCTCAAAGTCCTGAATGTTAATCACATCTGCCAAGTCCTTTTTGCCACAGGTTCCATGGATTAGGACATGGACATCTTTAGGGGCGACGGTGGTGCTAAAACATGTTGGTGTCTCTGAACTCATTTGGCCACGCTTTTTGCACATCTTTCAGAACAGACTTTGGGCTCTTTGTATTTCAACAGTCGGCCCCAGGAGAAGAAAATTCATAAAGGAATAAATCTTAATGGCGGAATTTCAGGCACAGTGGCGACGGGTAGCAGTTGGGGACTAGCAAGCCCTGCGTTTTTACACATTTGCTTTATATGCAAAGCCATACTTAATCTGCATTAGTGGCTGTTAGAAGGATTTAGTTGTCAGAAAATCTATGACCTCTTCCTTGGTCTTGTGGAGATGTGTGTGTTCTTGATTATCAAAGGTTGATTTCCCCCAATTTTGCCTTCGTGAATTATATGAAATCCTACTTTAGCAGGCTAACCACTGCAAAGATGAAAACCTCTGGGTCTCCCCAGGGAACCCTTGGATGGCCTGATTGTTTACTGTGTAACCACAAGAGGAAGGAGGGACTATCTGGGGGTGGGAGGAAGGTCAAGAGAGACTGAATGGGGGTGTGTATCTTCAGGGCCTGAAGGAGACCACATCTGGGAAAGCAGAATCACCCTGCTGGCCTTTACCCCAGCAACAGATCAGCCAATCAGGGCAGGAGCTGCATCTTGTCTTTACCAGTGATGAGGTGTCTTGAGGTAGAACAACCAATGAGAGGGAAGCATAATAATCCAAACCATCTTGTGTTTGCAGGAGGAAGGGAGGTGAAGGGTGAAAAGATGCTTTAGCCCAGGGCTGGGGACTACTGGCAGCTACCCAGTTGCATCTCACAGTAGCTGTTGCTGACAGGGTATTAGGGAACACTCCAAGGAGCTGGGCTTCTCTCTCTTCAATTCCATGGAAACTCTTTTCTGAACTATGTTTCTGCTTTTCTGCAGAACTACCCTACTTTTCATGGCTCTTCTCAAACCATTGGAAATTGCCTGACCCAGAATTTCCATACTGATATACAAAAAATGTACATGCTGAACGAGTCAATACCAGGTATCAACTTTTCTTCATCTGGCAGAAACAACAACAACAACCACAACAACAAAAGGTCGGAATGGACCACAACCTGAGAACTGGAGCAATCACACGGCAGGGCTGTTGAGAAATGGGGTAAGATGCGGCGCTCAATAAACTATGTAGCTAATAGGAAGTACACATTTGGGCTGTTTTGCCCTGCCATTATCCTGATCAGAGTTTTGTGCTCCAGGAAGGCCTGGGAGAGGACTGCGGGGGCTCCTCCATGTCTGGACATCAGCACCCTCCCAGCAGAGGTGAAATATCCTCCAGTGGCCTCAGAAGTAGAGCCATGAACCAGGGAACTGAAGCAGGAAAGGAAGAGCGTGGCAGATGCTGGGCGGTAACTGCAGGAATGACTCGTTGATGAGCCCAAGAGCTCTGGAAGATACCCAGACCACCTAGGGGAGGCTGTGAAAGGGGGGCTGAATCAGGACCACATACTTAGCTGTACAAATTATGCCATGCCCAAGAGCACCCATCCAGAGGCACAGATGGGACACTTTTCCTGCTTTGCTCACTCAGAGGAGGCACTTCTAAAAGTTCTTCTGCTCAGAGGGGCCTCCATTTTCTAAGTCACGGAAAACACGGTGTCTGCTCGCTGTGGCCCTGGGCCTAGCGGATTTTATGGAGGAGCCGGTGGAGTCTTCCTCACTTGTGTTCATGTAGCTCCACAGCAGTGAGGCCTATCTATCCTTATGTGAGGGGGTGGTGATCCCGTGATAGGGGAACAACAGTTGGATGGTTCTTGGCAGAGCCACGCAATGTGGGGAAGCTGACAGGGGACGGTGCGGCTGGGGGTGGGTACGCTGGTGCTCCCAAAGCTTCTCTGCCGGTCAGGCTTCCTTGTTCCCTCTCCCAGATGTTGCCTCCCAGGACCTGGTGCAGACTGTAGAAAGTTCGCTTCTGACATTCTAAGAGACCCAGCCATGGGAGGCATTCCTGGGCTCTGCATGGCTCTTCCAAGGCAAGGCCAGAGGTCAG